CAGCTGCGATCTGTTGCTCTTCCTGCTGAAGCTCTTGCAGCTCCTCAGTGATTAGCTCTTCGTTGTGGTCCTCCACCAACTCTTCCACATCCTCCAAACTCACATCCAACCAAATGGAACTCCCCAGTGCCACAATGGATTTAACAACTGACATAGGCTCATCAGGGTCAGCCCCAAACCCTTCAAAATCCCTCTTGTGGACACAATCTGGCCACAATTTTCTCCAAGCAGAGTTCAAAGTCCTGGTAGTCACTTCCTCCCAAGCCTTACCTATAAGGCTTACGCAATGGAGAATACTGAAGTGTTCTTTCCAAAAATCTCGTAGGGTCAAGTGAGTGTCTGAGGTCCCATTCAAGCACCTTTCAAACACTGCTTTGGTGTAGAGTTTTTTAAAGTTTGCAATGACCTGCTGGTCCATGGGCTGGAGGAGAGGAGTGGTATTCGGGAGCAAGAACTTTACTGTGATGAACCCAAACTCCTTCAGAATTAGGTCATCCAAGTTTGGAGGATGAGCAGGTGCATTGTCCATTACTAGGAGGCACTTGAGATCCAATTTCTTTTCCAGGAGGTAATTCTTCACACTAGGGCCAAACACTTCATTGAACCACTCGACGAAAATTTCCCTCGTGACCCATGCCTTACTATTAGATCTCCAAAACACACACAATTTATTCTTCATAACATTGTTTTTCTTGAACACTCTGGGATTTTCAGAATGGTACACTAGTAACGGCTTCACTTTGAAATCCCCACTAGCATTAGCACAGAACATTAGCGTCAGTCTGTCTTTCATAGGCTTGTGTCCTGGCAGCGCCTTTTCTTCCTGAGTAATGTAGGTCCTCTTTGGCATTTTCTTCCAAAAGTGGCCTGCTTCATCACAATTAAACACTTGTTCAGGTTTCAGTCCTTCACTGTTTATGTACTCCTTGAATTCATGCACATATTTTTCAGTCGCCTTGTGGTCCGAACTGTCAGCCTCACCATGCCTTACCACACTGTGTATGCCAGTACGCTTTTTAAATCTCTCAAACCAGCCTTTGCTGGCCTTAAATTCACTCACATCATCACTAGTTGCAGGCAATTTCTTTACCAAATCGTCATGCAACTGCCTAGCCTTTTCACAAATAAGCGACGTCATAAGACTATCTCCTAGTAATTGTTTCTCATTTATCCACACCAATAATAACTTCTCAACATCTTCAAGTACTGATCTCATTTTTGTCAGCATCTTTACCCCCTTTGCAACAACAGCGTCCTTGATTTCCTTTTTCTTGGCTATGATGGAAGATATGGTTGTACGGGATTTGTTATACATCCTGGCCAGTTCGCCCACACGTACACCAGTGTCATATTGTTCAATGATGTTTTTCTTTAATTCAATCATATTTCTCACCTTCTTTACCAAAGGCTTGGCACTAGGAGCTTTCTTTGGAGCCATGGTAGCTTATTTAGCACTTAAATAACTTGCAAGCACTAAAATAAATGGAATATTATGAAATATTTCACTGGAGCACGTGAGGGGACCGTCGCTCACTGGCAAACAATAGCACACTGGCTGGGAAGGAAAGGCTGAGTCGGCTAAGAGCGTGAGTACGCGTCCAGGACCATATGCGAGCCAATATTTTGACGAAAAAACAGGACTACAGTGGCTAACGCGACGGGCTGGAGTTTTGAGACTATGACCGCAGGTTCAATCCCGGCCGGGGTATGGTTTGTTTACAGTGGAACCTCAAATATCGAATTTTCTTTGGTCCAGAAGGCTGTTCGAGTGCCTTTACCGAATGAATTTATTCCCATAAGGAATAATGTAAATTAGGTTAGTCCATTTCAGACCCTCAAAAATACACTTATAAAAGCACTTACAAAAATACACTTACATAATTGGTTGTGTTGGGAGCAGTTCGATTTTTGAAGTTCCATTGTATTTCCGAAATGGACGACTTTCAGGCCGGACGATTATTGAGGGACCACTGTACTATCGTACCACATCAAACTTCTATTTTTAATCATTTCTCATCTCGTTTCAACAAAAAAATAAAAAATTCGCTTATAAATACACCTTCCATCCGACTTACGACCTGCTCGACATACATCCACTCGACTTACGACCGTGCATCTGGCAGCTGGGCTGGGCCGGCTGATGCTCACCGCTGTACATTATTATTATAATCAAGGGGGAAGTGCTAAACCCGGAGGATTATACAGCGCCTGGGGGGGATGTGGAAGGCATTCAGGCTTAATTTGGGGAGCTGGAGCACAGATCCAATTCCCTAAATCAAGAGCCCCTCACCAACATCAAGGAACCTTCCTTGAGGGGACACCGCTGTACAATATTTGACAATATTCGCGGCGGCAATGTTTCATGCAGGCAGCATCAGTTTGAGTAACCCTGGCCTATCAGCAGCATCATACTGTCTTTATGTCTGAGTGTCTGTCTACCTGTGTCTTTCTGTCTGCTTGTCTGTCTCAGAGCCACTCATTAAGAGTGTAACTGGTCTTGAAGATGCCATATTAATAATGATAATAACACAATAATAATCATGAGGCGCATTAAATGTGTATAAAACATTGATATAGACATTTTGCTTAATGCATCTATGATTTCTTTTTCAAAATTATAAAATAAACATGCTACATAACATATAATCATATAAATTAACAAATATGAGATGTTTTTCTAGTCGGCTTGACAGAGTGAACAGAAACCATTCGTGTCCAGGCTGGTAACAACAACAACAACGACGTTTGTTTACATAACTCGTGAACATTCTACACTCTCATTCATTTATTCATTTAATCTTGTTTACTCACCTCTCACTCTACATTAAGACTACAGATATTTTAAGGTAAGTAATGAGTGGACACGATTATTATATTATAGTTTAATAATAATATTATTATTAATATTAGTACTTATGTATTATTGTAATAATAATTTATTTATTTATTTATTTATTATAAATTTGTGCACACATACAGAGGTACAAAAAAAAAAATACAGATAAGAGCAGTATGCCAAAGCCACTTATACTATGCATAGCATTACGGGCTGGCTTAAAATTAACTTAAGATTAACTAAGCAATGATGAAGTCAGTGATAAAACATTAATGTAAACAGATTACTATAAAGCACAAGTGAGTATTACAAAGACAGGTCATATGAAGGATTCTGTAAGGTAGTGTATTTAAAAATAATAAAGTTAGATTCGGTTTTAGGTTTAACATTTATGTGATATAATTGTGAGAAACATTTAAGATATACAATTTATAAGGTTCAGTTATTCAGTATTTATTTGGTTTTGGGTGAGTAAGTGATCTTTGAGTAGAGACTTGAATTTATAAACAGGTAGTGTTTCTTTTATATTTACAGGTAATGAATTCCAGATTTTAGGGCCTTTTATGTGCATTGAGTTTTTGCATAGTGTGAGATGAACACGAGGAACATCAAAGAGTGATCTGTGCCTTGTGTTATGGTCATGTGTTCTGTTGAGGTTGGCAAGGAGATGTTTGAGGGGAGGGTTAATATCAGAGTTAAGTGTTCTATGTATGTAATAATAATAATAATTATTATTATTAATTTAGGGCACTGGAGCACAGATCCACTGTATAGCACTTTGTCTGTATTATTTGGGTTATCCTAGGTAATTTATACTATGTATGATAACTTTACTTACATGTACCTGTGAGAGACAGAGAGCGAGAGATACAGAGAGAGAGAGACAGACAGACAGACAGCCACATTCAGTCAGCCAATCACCCACCCACCCACCCGGCCAGCCAGCCAGCTACGTATTACACATGTTCCAGAGTTGTTTCTCTTTACTTAAGGTATAGGTTATACTACATTCTGGCAGGATGACACTACCAGTGGTATTCTCCCATTCCACTGTGTTGACAATACATAAAGATAACAGTAACATATGATACTGTATGCAATGTAAAATTTACAGTACAGTTCACTACCATGTATACATTATATACAGTAAATAAATAATTAAAATAGTATAACAACAGAAGTAAATTATGGTAAAAAGAATGGAATAATGATTGTACATTACATTACAGTATTATGTAGGTAGTTTATATAGGAAAAGTTTGACATTATGCCCTACCCAATATGTCGGCAATTTTCAAAGGTTCAACTTACGTCCATTTTGACTTACGACCAGTTGGTCAGAACCAAGCTTGGTCGTAAGTCAGATGGTAGGTGTACATTGAAAACAACATACAACAGATTTTTCCTGTAATATAGTTGTCAGATGCAAATTATTTTAGCATAAGGTTGATGAAGTCATATGTCTAGCAGTGAGCATCTGGAGCTAGACTGCAGCTCCTATGGACGAGCCGCCAATGCATATATATCATAGTTCAAACTGAACATTGTTTTTTATATTTCAACAAAGGTAACTAATTAATAAGTTACAGTATTATATTTTGGCACATTTTACATAATGAGATTAATATTTTTTTTACTTTATTGGGTTATCCTGAGTTAAATATGTTTAGTGTGCTTTATGGCTGATTTCCACTCTTAGTATCAAGAAATTGTAATAAATTTGGAATGAATGTCACATTTATGCAATTTCCACACTTTGTTTGCTAGTAGGGAAGCTGGTGGTAGAACAACAGCTCCTGGTTCCACTGCTTACTTTTGCTAGTTAGGCATACTTGTACATCAGACATACAGTCATCCCCTGAGTAGTTAACCATGATACACTGTGTGCACCCTGCTGGTCTTAGATTTTTTCAAATGTATGAATAGACTGAAGAAGACCCAAAGAGTTGTGCTGTCAAAAATATTGGCTGGTGACGGATTTGCAGGTATGCAAAACTGTGCATACTAGCACGATGGACACAGTTTAAGGTTATGGGTTAACACATCAACTTATAGCCTGGTAATGTCTTTACATTTTTTATAAACATTTTTTTTTTTTACACAACATGGAAAAGTTACTGACCACTATTTGCAGTATCTCTACAAATTATGTAAACATATTTACCTTCCTTTCTTCATTGATGAGCCAATATGTAGTGCTAGAATCTGTCTTGTCAATCAGTTTTCGTACTGTGGTGTTACAACTGCCAATAAGTTTGTGATTTCCATTTTTCTTGAAATCTTTGCAGCTGACTTGGATATTACGATCATAATCACCGCTACAGAAGCTTCGTAAAGGAGCTGAAAACTCCTTCCAAACTGGGTTTTTTGTACTACGGGCAGGATCTGTGCGGTGGACCAGCGTGAATGTCCCATCTTCATTTGCCTTGAACAATTCTAGAAAGGGATTAATGGAGCAAAACCAGTTCCTGTTTTCAAGATTCTGGCCAATAAACTGTATATCAAGCTCCTCTTTACATGAACCGAGCTCCTCTGTAATAATCAGAATAGAGCCGTTATTCCCTTCATAACAGGCATTAACCAGATTTTTGTGAAGTGTGTGCGAGCTCACTAACTGAGCAAGAGTGCACTCAAATTCTCCAAGAAAATCATGATCGTTAACATTCTGAGAGGTGGAATCTATGTCAAATATCATAAATTTTAGGTGCTGTTGTTCTTCAAAATGATATGTAATAGGGATTTTTGTAGCAAAATCTGGATTGAGCGTGTTTTGGAGGCATTCAGTTCGTTTCAACTCTGCCCACTGTTTTGACCCAAAGGGCTGGTAATACAACACACAAAGAGGGTCGGACTTGGATAAGACATCCATGTCCCGAAGATTCCTGTGGGAAGAAAAAAAGAAAAATCAAATTGTACATTTATTAAAACAATCAATGGTTCTCATGAATTTTAAGAATTTGATAGCATACCATATAAAAAGTCAGAGTAATAGTAGGACTTGAATTGTGAAGCAGAGAGACTAGTCAGGGTTGTCAGAGGCAACACTACTACTATGGATGAAAGAAATGGTGTGCCCTTACTCTTGTTCAAACTTTTTCTTTGCTGTGATGCTCATGAGTGTTCACCTGCTTAGTAAAATATGAAGACAAGACATATTGCAAGACATGCAACAAGCTGATAAACAAACTGATGACTGCATATAAGAGATGAATGTAAACTAGGTATGGGAATTAAGTGACCCATAAAACATCACAAGAATGAATAACTTTCTCAGCAGAACATACTGTACACCAAAAGCAAATCACAATAAAACATGGACAAACCACTGACTCACTACACATGGACTGTACTGCACCTACAGTCATCAACAAGAAAGAAATCTAGAAACAAATCTATTCCTGGTTTAAACTGATATTTATAAGAAATAAAAGGAAAAAATGGGCATGGGATTTCCAATAAATATATTTTGAATGAAATACTATAGCTGTTTTCAAATTTGTCCTGCACCAATTCTAAAGAAAACTGGCACCCAGCCAGATGAACTTGAGATATACTAACACAAAGGGGGGACTAGAGACAGAAGGACAGAGAAGTGGGGTGATATATATTCACAAGTTCATAACATGGGTACTTCAGCCCAGACAGAGAGGGAAAGAAGGGTTAAAGGGAGGAGGATTATGACTGAATTTTGGAATATGGTCATCTGGTGCCTACAAGGTGTGCTCATACTTGAATATGGTCATCTGGTGCCTACAAGGTGTGCTCATACTTGAATATGGTCATCTGGTGCCTACAAGGTGTGTTCATACTTGAATATGGTCTTCTGGTGCCTACAAGGTGTGTTCATACTTGAATATGGTCATCTGGTGCCTACAAGGTGTGCTCATACTTGAATATGGTCATCTGGTGCCTACAAGGTGTGCTAATACTTGAATATGGTCATCTGGTGCCTACAAGGTGTGCTCATACTTGAACATGGTCATCTGGCGCCTACATGGTGTGCTCATACTTGAATATGGTCATCTGGTGCCTACAAGGTGTGGTCATACTTTATTATGGTCATCTGGTGCCTACAAGGTGTGCTCATACTTTATTATGGTCATCTGATGCCTACAAGGTGTGTAGACAGCCTGTACTGTCTGCACAGACAGCCTATGCTGTCTGCCAGCTTAGTTCATATTTCGCGTCACTAAGGTGCTGCCCTCTGTAGCCAGGCCTCTCGGTGGGCACGCCAGCCTGCCTGCCCTTGCCTCTGCCTCACTCACACAGCGGCCTAGCAGGAAGACACAAGACCTACTCTTAGCTCTCTCTTGTGGGATGGCCCTGCCCGGGCCATGGGCACAACACACAAGCCTGTGCACCCACAACGACCTTTCAATAAAGTAAGAAGCCTCCGAAGACTTATCATTAACCACCCGCTTACAGCCTACCAAACAAACCATTAAACATTGGTGGGAAGCGGTGGTAGCAGCAGTTGTTTGCCCAGAGAGAGAGGAAGGAAGGAATGAAGTCATCTTCACTTCATCATCCCATGCAAGAAGCATCCGTCTCTCAACGTGTTATCCTGATGTCGTGTCTGCACATTTGAGCATCCAGACACAGGTACAAGCAGGATCCAGCCAAAATTTACCGAATTTCTTTGAGAATTTTAAGTGGCGTCCCAGCGACCCCATGCTACAGCATCCCTCGCTGTTTCTCAAGTCACGTGTTCAGCGTCACTTGTATGTTGCTGTTGTCGTTCAGCTCAGCACAGCTGTTTCAGCAAGCCAGAGGTGAGTTTTGTGGTGATTTCTGTGTCCAGTGTGAGCTTCTCCACGTGTTTGTGGGTGGGGGAGGAGGAGAGGAAGTGGCCGTTCCTCACCTTACCCATGCTCACCCTACTCACGCTCACCCGTCTACCATACACTCACCACTGCCCACTCCCTCTGCTGTGTTTTCTGCTGTTTTCCATGTGAATTCATTGCCAGAGCTGTGTATCCGAGTGCCCAAGGCCACTTGAAGCCACGTGGATCAGCATGCCACGTAGATCATGACACCACATGGATCCCGACACCACGTGGGTGTGGGCGATGTCACGTGGATCTACAAACCACGTGAGTTACCGAGCCAGATGTCCCAGGCCACATGCTGTGGTCTGCTGCCCGCATCACTCCTATGATGTCATCCGATGCTGCTGCCCGACTTCATGACGTCATGATGTCTGCCTGACGTCACCTCGAGATGTCTGCTGACGACTTTATTATGGTCATCTGGTGCCTACAAGGTGTGCTCATACTTGAATATGGTCATCTGGTGCCTACAAGGTGTGCTCATACTTGAATATGGTCATCTGGTGCCTACAAGGTGTGCTCATACTTGAATATGGTCATCTGGTGCCTACAAGGTGTGCTCATACTTTATTATGATCATCTGGTGCCTACATGGTGTGCTCATATTTATTTGGTAAAAATAAGTCAAGAAATGTGGATATGTTTTTTTCCAAATTTTGACTTGGCTAACTGTATAGAGATAACAATTTAAATTTTTATTTTGCCTTTACTCATTTGCTTTGTGAACCAAATTCACTTCAATACTGTGTATATATAGTATTCATATGGTGCAAGTGTGGAAAGCTCATATTTTTGAGGGTAAATATTAGTTAAGAAATGTGAGGTTATCAAATTCTCAGAATGTATCCATGTGTTTTACATAAAGTATTGGGTTCTCTTTATGCACCAGGAGCAGGAACACATCTATCACATAGAGCCAGGGATACCCCTACTCAACTTAAAAGAAACAAATGATCAAACAATAAACAAACCTGAAATCTCAGTTACTGGTATTGTACAAAAAAACTCGGCAGTTTTTTTCTTGGCCAGATCCCAAACCCACATCAGTGCTGTTATGCTAACACCTTATGCTTAGCTCTAACTATGCTCTCTCACAAGCTATAATAGTGATATACTCTCCATTATATATAAAAGAGCAATACATGGTAGAGAATAGCAGGTTTTAAAAGTTGGTAGTAATTTAAAGACACTGTTATACAGGGAAATACTTAAGTACCTTTAAATTACTCCATGTTGGCTAATGCTGTTGTCTGCCAAGTTAAGAAGCTACTATTGCTGCTGAATGGATAAAGGGCATAAGAACCATGGGTTTTAAAAGAAAGTGCAAATAAATCAACTTATCCAATCAGGAAACTCTTTGGGATTTCATCACAAGATGGTAAACTAGCAAACAAACAGAAAATAGCACATTGTGCAGATACTTAAAAAAAAGAAAAAGTGAACTATAGGTCTATCTCCATAAACATCATGGGGAAAAATAGAATTTTATCAAAGTAAATAAAATACACTGAGAGTAAAAGAAAAACTGTTCAGTAGCAAACAATATTAAATTCAGATGGCAAATTCTTGTTGAATATGTAAGCTACAGTATTACAACAGTCAGAAATTATTCAAGAATAAAAAGTATGGGCAGACTGCATTTATTTACATGTTAAAAAAGGCTTTCAATAAAATTCCTTGTGAAAGACTACATAATTTGGAAACTGCAAAATATAGGAGGAAGAAAAGGAAAACTACTGCAAAGTATGACAGCTTTCTTGTTTAATATGAAAACGCAAAAAAAAAAAAAAAAAAATATAAAGTAAAATGTTTTCGTGTTGTGATGTTAAAACTAGAGCGCCACAAGAATTGGTGTTTGTCCCTGTAATGTTTTTAATTCATCTATTATCCAGGTCTGCCATAACAAATCCAGCATCATGTAGTGTGCCGGATTACTGAGTAGTTAGGTTAGAATACACTTAATAAAGTTAACCAACTTGACTTGCACAAGAAAGTTCATTGAACATCAGCAAAAATCAAACATTTCCGCTACTTTGAACTCAATTTCAAGGTACTTTTTGTCGTGAAACCAACCAAAATCATATCTATTTTTATAATATATCTTCCATTCTATCAAATGAGACCAAAAAAACGAGAATACAACAAAAAAAATCAAAAACAAAAATATACCACTAAGCGGCTAATGCTGAAAATGACTCGTTATTTAAAGCCAATTTTTTCATCTTTGGAACATTAAAACATTTTTCCCCCATCATACAATCCTAAGTTTCAAAAATAGCCAACAAACAACGAGAAAAAAAAATTTACCAAAAATCATTATGGCAACCAACCCATACTAAAATAAGTAACTTTGACTTTTCTGGTTATCCTCTTCTCTATCAACCCGCATGAGATAATCTATGTAACGTATTTGTGTAACCAAAAAACTTAGGGTCTTATTTCTAATTCTCTCAACTGAGTACAAAAAACTGCCCATTTCACCTATTAAACTCCCAATAAAGTGGTAAAATTGGCAATAGGGCCCAATTTCCACAAATTTCAAGATACCTATTTCAAAATAGTTCCAGAATAAAAAATGTTAAAATTCCTGTCACTAAAAATAAAATTTTTTGTGTTCATCAGTCAGGGCTACAGGGCCCCCTTAAAATTCTCTTGCTTACATTTGGAATTTTTATTCGCACAAAAAAATAGAAATTTCGTTATCAGACTATTGCATTATTGTAAATGTAATTGTATAAACAATGCAATCCATTCAGACTGTGAAAATTGGGGAATTTGGGGAAACCGGGGACACGTATTAGACATTACTCATTTGTTTACCTTGAACATCCCAAAAAATCGAACATTCCCGCACTTTGAGCCAATTTAAAGGGTATTTTCCTGAAAGCAAAAAAAACATATCTGTCTTGAATATATCTTCCATTGTATCAAATAAGGCCAAAAAACGAAAAATACAACCATAAAAACCATATGAAAATAAAACCCTAAGGGCAAAGGCGAGAAATAAACTCCATTATTTATGGTCCGATTTCTTTCTTTTTTTGGCGTTCGTTAAAAAAAACTTCCATCCATTCCCATGTTTCAACAAGAAAACCACAAACAACTGAGAAAAATAATTTTTTCCAAAAATCAATAGGGGCAAGCCCAACCCCGGTACTAAAACAATCACTTTGATTTTTTTTGGGGTATCCTGGGTTTCCTCACTGTGCTGCTATGTTTTATAATCTATGCAGAAAAAATACTTTTTTTTTTGTTTTTGGTGCACTAGATGTTACACAGATAGCCCCTGTGCTATCAGGGATAGGAGGATGGTATGGGGGACCCCCGGTTTCACGGGTTTCGGCGCTGGGTTTATCTGCCGGCGGGGGCAGCTTCTTTTCAAACATCCAAACTTTTTCGCTTGTTTACCATTGTTTTTTAGCGGTTTTTCTTGCAGTGCAACTGTGAAATAAATAACCATGGCTCCAAAGAAAGTACGTACCAAAAGTTCCTGTGGTAAAGAAAGGAAAAACCCATGGAAATTTAAGCGTGAAGTATAGAAAAATGTGGAAGAGTTGGTGGAGGACCACAGGGAAGAGCTTACCACCGAAGAGCTGCAAGAGCTTCAACTTGAACAGAACCAGACTGCACGGGAATTTGCTTCAAGGAGGGGGAAGAGGATGAAGGGGTCCTTCTTCAGAGTTTAAAAAGAGGTGTGAAATGGGACTGGGGTGCAACTTTTGTAGAGAAACACCACCCTGACAAAGCGAAACAAGCCAACTCAACATGTTTAGTGAAAAAACCTGTCCCCTTCAGGGGAAACTTAAAGAGATGCCAGAAAACAGAGCACTCTGGACATTTTTTGTGAAAAGGGTCCAGTGACTTTCAAGCGGGTTTCTAGTGGCATTAAAAGACAGAAAAGGGGGAAGGTAACCCCAAGAAGGCATTGCTACATAAATTTTTTTCATGGGGGGGGTTTCCCCTTCCAAACACTAACACCTCCCTCTTTCACCTCCCATTTTCCCAGAAGCCAGCATTACCCTTTCAAAAAGGTCAGGTCCCCATCAAAAATCCGGCATCATTTGACCTTTTGGGCTGGAAAAGTTTGCCAGATTAAGAGTGGTTAGGTTAGAATACACTTAAAAAAATTTAACCAATTTGATTACACAAATTTCACTGAACTCGGCAAAAATCAAATTTTTCCCGCACTTCGACTAAATTTTAAAAGGTACTTTTCACATCAAAGCAAAAAAAAAACATGTCTTTTTTTTAACATATCTTCCTTCTATCAAATGAGTATACAACCATAAAAACCAACAAAAATTGCAAAGAGGCGGCTAATGGCTGAGCAGGAACTCCCTTTATTTATTCCTTTTTTTTTATTTTGCTGTACTTTTAAAAGCTCTTCCCATCATAAAATTCCCCAAGTTTCAATAAGACAGCCCAACAAAAAACCCAAAAAAAAAATTTTTCCCAAAAATCATATAGGGCAACCCAAGCCGGGTACGGGAAAATCACTTGTCGACTTTTCTGGTTTACCAGGTTACTTAAATACACGCTATGTTGAAAAATTTTTAACTGATTTGTATACCTAAT